CTGTGAAAAAAATCATGAGGTATTTGAAAGGAACATTTAATTATGGATTAACCTATGGCAATGTGAGTGAGCTTAAAGTTTTGAGATACATAGACTCCGACTATCAAGGAGACCCAGATGACTCGAGATCCACTTCGGGTTATCTATTTCTTTATGGGGGTGGTGCCATTTCTTAGCGCACCAAGAAGCAAGACCTTGTAACCATATCTACCATGGAAGCCGAGTATATGGCTTTAAGTTCCGCAACTTTAGAAGTCATTTGGATTAATAAGTTCTTGAATCATCTTAACTTCAACCCTCTAAAATATGGAACTATTAGAATCATGTGTGGCAATCAAGCTGCAATAGCAATGGCAATTGAACCAAGGTTCCACAGCAAATCAAAGCACATTAAAGCTCAATACCATAGAGTAAGAGAAGAGATAGCAACTGGTGAAGTAGAAGTTGGTTACATTCCATCTAAGGCTATGCATGCAAATCCATTAACCAAAGGCTTGGGGGCAAATGATTTTATGAGGTCTGTGCATGGGATGGGTTTAAGGAGGTTGACATAGTTGTTATTACTTTGTCTATTGCTTATGAATGATAAATCCATGGATAAGTATGTATGTTTTGATTATTATGAATGATAATGAGAGAGAGAGAGAGAGATATACGAATTCAGGCCTCAAAAGGCCAAGCAGAAGAATGTTGGAAATATGGCCTATCAAGGCCTAAATTCTAGTAGTCTCTCATTCAGTGGGAGCGATTGAGAGATTGAAATCTTTGTGTATTGTGAAATGGAGCCCAGATTTTTTTACCCCGAGTACGCATGAGGGCATCGAGAGTTCACGTGTTGAGAAAGCAATTTCTCAAGGAGGTATGAGGTTCACCTCCTAGTCAAGATTTTATAGGTTAGCCTCATGTTAGCTGCAATCGACCAGGGCTTGGAGAATCCAAACGAGAAAAATAGAACTCGAGTACTTATTGAGTATTCGCCCTATATGGAATGGTTAAGACTTATGGGACATAAGTCCGTATCTTGACATGAGACCATTGCATGGCATGTGCACTTTCATTTCGTACAGGAATCCACTCTTCCAAATGTATTATCCGAGTTTGGAAGAGCCAGTGCACATGTGCTTTGAGAGGACCCTTGTAATTGAGTTGAATCATGTTCCACAGGGGTACACTTATATTCCATTGAGAGCCGAATGATCGGAAGTTCTGGCTCAACGGCTTTGACATAGCCAATTATGTGTCCCTACTTCTGCGCTTCTTCCACCATTTCGCTACCAATAGGAAGACCAACAACTAATATATGTTTATTGGGTCGATCTGAGACTCAGCGGAACATCATTCCGGACTAGCCCAATGGAGTACTATGATACCTGTAGTTATTAGCCTAAGATCTCACTATATCTTTTGTTTGATTTTATAATGATGAGAAAAAACTAATAATTGCTCAAAAATATTTTAAATATTTTTTGTGAATTTCAGATAATTTTTTGGAAATTTTATTTGCCAAAAAATAATAATAATAAAAATAATAAAGGTTTTCATATTGTTTGGCTCAAATTCCACTTTAGTCTTGACCTGGTAGTGACATGTGGTGTCTGAGTGGCCATAAGGCTGCCACATGCAACCCCACACCTCACTCTAGGATCACCACCCAGCTGGGCACTGATCCCTAGGTGGGGGACTAGATTGGAATTTGGTTGCTTGTTTTATAAGGGGTTGTGTTATGGTGCATTGTTATATATTGTTATATTTTGTTATCTAATGTTATAAATTAAGGCCCCCTTTTTATCACATGTCTTAATTAACTCATACATGGGCCATTCATGGCATGTGTAAAATTTAATTAAATTATTTATTTGATATTAACGAGAAAATACATTTTCAAATTTGAGTTAAAAATTATCTTAACACATGTGTGAAGGGGACATTATCTTTAAATTGATTGATTTGAAATTTTAGATCTACAAAGTGATTGGCTTTGATAAAGAATAATATCTCCACATGTGTGAGCTTTATCAATTACTTCTTTGCCCTTTAGCCTTTGTGGTTATCTACTCTAATACATTATTAAAAAAACTAATGGTATTTTTATAAGGCCATATTGGATATAATTAGAACAAAAACATGGGCCAAGGTCAAAATGGTAAAGTGACATAACTTAGGGTTAGAATGAGTGATTATGGTGTAAAATCTCATCCCTTTATCCTAGTGGTTGGATGGTGATGGGTGGCTAGGTACATTAGCCTCTCATGTGCCTTTGGATTAATGCATCAAGGGCGCTGATTGAATCCAAAGTTACACCCATGTTATAAAAGCACATCATGAGATCTCAATTCCTATCTATCTCAACTCCTGAACCATTTTGGAAAATTATTGCTTCCCTCCTTCTTCTAAGATTTTGTGAGAGAAAATTGAAGAGAGAGAGCTTTTAGAGTTCCATTAATGGTGATCTTGATGGTGATCCTCCTTTCTTATGCTTAAGTCCATAGTACGCATTTATCAAGGTAAACTCCATTGAATTTTCTTTTCTCATAAGATCATTTCCTTGGCATCTATAGTTGCTGGATTTTTGAATTTAAGAAAGTTTCATTGATCTTAGAATTCCCATTTGATCAGCTTTTTCATCATGCTTATTCATAGTGTGGTCTTCCATGAGCTATAGCCTATATGCATGAGAATCCATGATCATGCATAGTATCCTTAAATTGCTTTGCTTCAAATTCATCAAATAATTTAGTCTTAGAGTTTCACTCTATTTTCATAACTTTTTCATCACGTGTTTACCTATGGAGGTTTATAAACTTTCCATACAATACTATTTTGGTGGTCCGAGGGACCACCGTATGTAGTTTGGCTATAACTCTCTTGTTCTTTATCTGATTCGATTCAAATCTTTTACATTTTGTTTTGGATGATAATGCCAGTGTGTTGAGATCTTAAAAAGTGATTTTAAGGTGTGTATTTTTTTTTCATTTGGATTAGACACTCTTGTGAGATTGAACCACTTTTGTACAATCCGAAGGGACAAAATTAAGTCTTTATAGAGCCCGATTGCGTGGCCCCGATACAAGGGGTTCGAAGCATGGCTTCCCTATTTTAATTTGGAATTCTAATTCCCTGTTTAGATGATTTTATTCTTTAGAATTTGTTTAGATTAGTTGCATGATGTATTTAAGTTTTGAGATATAGTTTATGTAATTTGTGCTATGAAAGTGTAATTCATGAGCTAGTCTTACTTTATATGTAATTGCCCTATAAGGGGTTGGTATTTGAGTTTATTTATAGTGGTTATACAAAGCTAGAAGTGGTTACAATTGTTATGTAAAAGGATTTTAACTTATTTACTTCGCTTGGTTTTTAGCAAGTGGCTTGTTGAAGGTGTCTATTTTGCCTTTATTTTCAGCTTGAAAATTTGCTCTAGTCTTTGTATCCACTATCAAAATCGACCCACACTCTTTTGTGGATCAAAGAAATCAATACACAGATCTGGTCAAGGCTTCGCTTATCGTTTAAATGCACTAAATTCATCAAAAAATATTCGATATTGAAGATTTAATCACAAAAATGGCAGAAATCTCAAAACCCTAAACATTTCATCTAATGTGAGAAAAAGTATAAATTTATAGAAAAAAATTACTCCATGATAATAAATTTTACTATTTTATTTGAGAAATGAGATCTTGGTCACAAACCACCACTCAATTTGATCCTAAACGAGCTATAAATCGATTGGAATATTCAATTTTGGATTTTGGTGATGTCTTTTCAATAGCATCGTTTCGAGCAAAAATCTATCCAAAATTTTCTATAGATCAAGGAAATCAACACACATATCCAGGAAAGACTTCGATTATCTTTGAAATGTACCAAATTTCATAAAAAACTATTCTGGATTGAAGATTTAATCGCATGAATGGTATAAATTTCAGAACAAGTGAAAAAACGGCACTTCAATTGATTGAAATTTTTTTATATATATATTTGATTCTCAAAACATTGTTTTATCGTCACAATACACCAATTTTGCTCACTAATTCACTGCAAAAGGCCAAAATATGACAGAAAAAGAATAAAAAAGCATGAGAAACGCTTCAATCCGTGACCCATTGTGTCTCGAGGAACGATTTGGCAATTCTATTGTAGCAAACTCACTACGGTAAACCAGCAATCTAGGGGGCAATTGGGCGGCATCCGTTATATTAGCATATTCAGATCGTGAGGTTCCGATCTGGATTGCTGAATTTTAAAACCTTGAGTGAAATACAATTGAAAACTCATGAAGGGTTGAAGTGGTCTTGGATTCAACATGGCCTTCAATTGAGCTTGGAATTCTAAATGCGACATGAAGTGCTCAATTGGAAGGTCTAGACTCTATAAAGGTGAATATGCCGTAGCAATAGGGCGTATGTAGTGTGCGTGTGAAAAATTCTCTCGTGTAATTAAATGTAATAATATTTTCACACCAGTTAGCTATCACTTGGTGTGAAAAGATGTATCGGGACAAATTAGTGTGAAAATATTCCACACCCACATGATAGAATTCTTTCAGTCAAACAAACAAACATGCCCTAAGCCTCTCCCAAAACTAACAGTGGTAATGGGCTAGTACCGGGCCAACCAACCACGGCTTTGGCCCAGCTCTCATCCACATAGTCTCAGCACATCAAGGCATGCCCGAGCCAAACAACAAATTAAAAAACATAAAAGAACAAATAAGGAAAATAGGACCGGACTGGGCTGAACCAGTCCGACACTAACCCTATCCTGGCCCTCCGGCCACAGCTTGTAGCCCAAACCCTCCTTTTCTAAGACCCGGCCAACCGGGCGCCCGGCCCATTGACAGCCCTATCTAAAACCAATGGTGCATTGAGAGGAATGCTAGATTGAGCATGGCCAAAACAAACATTAATGATCTATTCATTCACTACAAATGCAACCCATTTTGCCATAATCCATGAAACAACGACAACCCTCTCTCTCCATATCCAGGGAATAGAGGAAAAAACAAATCTCTTTCTCAAAGAGGTACCATATTCAGCTTATTATCATCAAAATGAACAAAGAAACATATTCAGCTTCTTCATGTCTGGCAGAACAACTGACATAGAGGTGGAAGATCCCACAAGTCAGATGCAGCACTTCCACTACCACCCGAAGAAGAAGAAGAAGATAAATAAGATGATGAAGAAGAAGATAAATAAGATGATGAAGAAGAAGGGAATGAAGAAGCCAAATAAGAAGAGAATGTTGAAGAAGGAGGGTCATCACAAAAACCAGACGCCATGGAAGAAGAACCCTGTTGCCCAAAACCCAAATCAAACCGATCACAATTCATGGCTTCCTCATTCACACCCGAAAAACACGTCTCAAAGTACTCGTGCACGCCATTGATGGCGTAGAGCGATGCTGATATCTGACGCTCCACCCTCAATCTCTCCAATTCCGGCAGTGCCTGCTGTTCGCAAGGCGGTGTCATCACTGCCTCAGGCCCCAGCTCAAGTAGGGCCCATGACACCTCGGTCATCCTAGGCTGGTCCTGCACCGGGCTCGCAGCATCTGAATTGTGGGCCCGGCAAGGGGGCAGACACCTTGGGCTAGGCGGGGGCTTCTTGAGTAGGGTGCGGATGCGGGAGGCGAGGGGGGAATTGGGGGAGATGTGGGGGGCAAAGTTGGTGCGGGTGTTGGTGCCACGGAGTAGGCACGCGGCCTCGTCATAGGCTCGGGCAGCTTCCTCTGCAGTCTCATAGGTGCCAAGCCACATCCTGATCTTTTGAGTTGTGTCTTTGATCTCAGCGACCCAGCGGCCAGAGGGACGCTGACGGACTCCTACAAACTTGTTTCGGGTCCGACCAGCCGGTTTTGAGGATCTCTTAGGTTTGTGCTCTGTTGCTGCTCCAAAGTGCAGGTCCATTCAGGGCTTGAGAGATAGAGAGGTTTATAGAAATTAAAAAGATCAAAGATTGTGAGAGAGGAGCTTAGAATTGTGCCATGGCAGTTTCTTTTTCTCCTTTTCTTCCTCCTCCCTCTTTTTATTCTTCTTCTTCTCCTCTCTTCTTATTTCTTCTCCTTGTTATTACTACTAGTCTTCTTCTTTATGGATGGGTTTGGAGGAGGTGGGTAATATATGAGGGTGGGTGTGACTGAGTTTTCCATGGGGATAGACTCCAAATGGATAATCATCTGCTCACGTATGCATTCTATTATTTATTCCTTCCTTTTACGCATATAAATCAATGTTAGGAAGCAAGCCTAATTAATAATATAAGCGATTCCGGGTAGACCCGGGCAACCACGGCTTGGGTGTAGGCTGCATCGGGCCTAGGCTAAGGCTGGCCCGATTCGGCCGAGCCTGGCTCTCATTTGTTTTCTTTTTAACTTGATTTTTCAGCTAGGCCACTCCTAAGCTAAGGTGTGTACCTGGTTGAGCAAGGCCTAAGCTGGTCCTATGAGGACTAGGAAGCAACTAGGGCCATGATATCTTGGCCTAGGCCCGACCTGTTGCAAACCCTAGGGAATACCTGTGGCTCGGAAGCTATAGACCTGGGTCCGGTCTTGCTACGATCCCCCGCTAGTGTCCAAGTCACTTTTGAGATTCATCCGACTCTAAAAACTACCAAATATTAAGAATTCGAAATAAAAGTAAATAATAAAAAAGTAATAAATAATAAAAGAAAAAAACACCTAGGAATGTACTTTTATATGCATACTATGTATTAATTTACAACCAATAACGGTTGGTAAATTCTTATTCAAGTACGAATTTGAAGTTTAGTTTAAAGGAAGAAGTCCACAATTTAGACATTAGGACCCCTTCACTCTAGAAAATTGTTAAAAACATAGAACTTAGAAAACCTCATCCTGAAATTACCCTACCCTGAAATGTTTATTTATTTATGCTCTTTCTTCTAGTATGTCAACGGCGAGGACCTTAATTGTGGTGGGCGACATGAAAAAGCGCCACTTGGCGAAACGAAGTGCGAGGACCGCTAGACGACGTGCTGAGTGCGGCCAGCCGAGGTGGCGACGGGTTAGCTTTGATGTGCTCCTAGGCCCACCAATGCTCTCCTGGTCCCTCATTTTTCTTTGGGCAAATATATTTGCTTCTACTCCCTTACAAGATCGAGGATTTTTTTAAAAATTTTGCAAACCATCTAAAAATCACTTGATAATTATTTTAAAAAAATTAAAATTTACGTTTTTCTAATACTTATATCTCACTATTTAAAAAGTGGACGGTCTCTATTCAATCTCGATACATTATTATTTTCAAGTTCATACATGGTGCAATTAGGAAATCTTGTTTATTGAGGTTAATCTATGGTTGAAAAGATTATATCTCCAAAAGTTGAGGTCCTAAAATTCAGTCTAAGCAGTGTTTTACCTGAGGGAGTAAATTAATAGTATAATCCTACAGGAGTTTAATGTCTTTTAGCATTTCATACTGCCACTTACCTAGCAACATTGTTAGGTTGGGTTCATTTTTTATATGGCAATGGCCCTCACCAACCTTAGATAATTCACAATGCGTCCCTTTCAATCGCTACTACGTTTTTTGTATATAGGGAAAAAAGAAATGATGTGGAGTGGGGGCGTGCTTCTAGACGTGATCAAAAGTTTTTGATTCCCCTCCAAATTAGTGGTCTTCTCTTGGTAGGTTACATTCACAGGTCATGGGGTCTAGGGTTTGTGTTGTGTTGGTTAATGGGCATTTTTAGGCCCATCAATTGGATGCCAAGTTCAAACGTGGTTAGGGCCATTGGATTTGTGATGCTCAAGCCTATCATACACATGGTTGAGACCCAAGTTGGATGTGATGACCAGATTTGTTGCCCATATGCTGCCACATTTGTTTGATATTACTAGGAGAATTTATGGGCTTGTTGGGCTTGAGATGCCTAAATCCAATTGTGTTGGGCTCACTAGTTTTGATGCACTGTGCCACTTGTGGACTTTTGATATTAGCTTATATGGAGGTCACAATCATAATTGTATATCAGATTTCAAATTGGGTAGTTGTAAGATTGTGTCATTGATTAAATGGAAAATTCAAAATAAAAAAAAAAATTACAAATTCCGTGATGTACCCTAGGCTATCCAATTTGACATCTAATTACTATAACCATGTGAATTGCATAAGGTTGCAACCTTAAACAAGTCAATTAAAGCGCACCTCTAATTTATCATAAAATGTAAGTTTGATATAAAATTTTTTTAGGATGGTTTAAGAATCTATTTTCATTTCTAATTATAAAATTTTAAACTTTAAAAATGATTCAATTCAAGTAGATCTATAAACACATGAAAACATTGAAAATGGACGGTCTACCTAGTGTGTTGCATGATACACTATTTTACATACTCAAAATTTTTCTTTTCTTTCATATTCATACATCTTGATATCGAGATGAATAATTAGAAGGTTTTCCAACATCCAAGAAACTTTTTATGATGCATTATTGGGGTGCATCTTTAATTCTACATTTTAAGGTTGCAAGCTTATATAAACTTTTCC